GGAAAAAACCATTATTTGAAGACCCATTTTTTCGAGGCTCTTAGAAAACTTGCTCAAAATCCCGGAAAAACCACTTTTGTAACCAAAAGCAATACAGATTCTGGAAGTAGACACTTCAGGCTATCTTGATGTTGTGTTTTTTATTAGTTTATTCTGGAAGTGTTCAGATGTTAATTCTATTAATATTTTAAACCCTAGTAACAAAATATTGTTCACAAAAGTTCGTTCGATGTCTAACCACCCCAAACAGTGTGTCTGATGGTTGTCATCATCCAATGTTTCCATTGGTGCTGTTGTTATTATGAATACCAAAATGAACTTTTTTCAACTTTTCTATAAAAATTCAATACTTGAACGACTATACACTTTTCTGGCTGTATAGATGGGGTCTGCGCTATCTGTGGTAAAAAGTTGAGCTCGATGGGGCTATTTTTTCAAGGAGTTATAATGTGACTGGATTAAAACTAGAGTTTATTCAGAAAACCCATAAAAGAACATAACACAATATTCTGAGCAAAAATACATGAATCTTCGTTTTCGATATTCTCTCTCTCGTATAAATTTTTTCAGACAGTTATGACCAGTTTCGATCATAGGCAACAGAATAAAACATCGTTTTACCCTGCGTTTCTTGCATCCGGTGTATGGATTGTAACATGAGTTATTTGGGTAGTTATTTATAGAAATCTTTGACTAAATACAACGGAGAAAACCTGTTCCATCTTCGAGCGGCACTATAGCACTGCGATATCTTGTTTAGGCTGACACAAAAACTATTTTCTCTTTCAAGATAAGCGTTCTCATAAAACGAATGACATATTCGAAATGAGCTCATAAAACTGCATTGAATTTGCGTCGATCAATATTTAATATGTGCAAAAGTTTTAACTCAAATAATGTCATCCTTGTCTTTCTATCAAGGGATTTTTTTCCCCTTGTTGAACTTTTTCTTGACAAATAGTTATTTTAGAGCTTGGCCACTGCATTAGCAACTGTTTAAAAGTATCCACAACAAGAGAGAACCCGAATATCCGTAAACAAATAAAAATTGTCCACTGTGTAAAAATGTGTGTATAGAAAACATCCCACATATTCTCATATATATAAAAACATTCGAAACACACAAACGGAAAGAAAAAAATGTATATCTGCCTGTCTTGTCAACCTTGGAAGATGACAAATATGTATCTATATATAAACAAATTCTTCTTGTTGAATGATCAATAGTAATACGCAGAAAACTGGATTCTGTTTATATATATTTCCTTAATTACATACGTACAAAAATAAGCATGTACAGAAGAGAAAAACATCATTATAACATTATAAGGGTTCTCACTTCATTCATAATCATTATACGGTATCGGTCGATATTTATACATAATTATATTTGTACGTGTTCCTTTTTTGCTACTTAATTTCATATGGCTGGTGCAAGTTCTGAGAGGTGGATAAAATATATTGGTGAAGATGGCCCAAGTGTGGTTAAAAAATTGAAAAGAGACGGTATGTTTAAACTGCGAAAGAGTTAAGAAGTAGTCAGTCACTTTAAATTCTGATTGCTTTTTGAATAACACAAGAAGAAAAACAGCTGCGATTTTCCTCAGGCTGTAACCGCATGTTTCCAATACTAAACGATTGTTGGAAACCAGTCCTTCAGACGGTGTGCTTTACTGATCTTTGAAAGATTAGTTCACTGCTGCTTTATTTTCACACCAATCTATGTCTTCACATATGCAAAACGTATCCTGGAGTGTGCGCATGATCTGCGCTAGTCAAACATTTTTCTACAATCTGCGCATAATATTGTACACTTATTGTCAGAATTATGGCTGATAAAGTTAAAGGTGAATTTTCTTGAAAACTAAAATAATAACAAAATTTGAAAGTAGGAGAAGGTTTTAACATGTGCCATTTAAAAGAACGCAGAAAACGGTACAAGATCTGCTTTTCTTGAATCCAAAAGAGTGATTTGTGGACTTTTAAAAGTTTTATGGACTACAGATCATTGAGATGAGGCTGGAGTACGTTTGAGTAAAAAACGTTTTTGTCTTCTCAAGTATTTTCAACATGTTTTCGCTTGAAAGAAGAGTCAGCTTACCTTGTTCAGCTTGACGGTCTCGAGTGAAAACTCTGAACCAGAGAGACACGATAGGCGGGCAGGTTATGCACAGATTGTAGAAAAATGTTTTATCTTTTGAATGGCATCTAGTTCAACTCTTCAACGGCCGGTTTTACTGGAAGACATCGAAAGTTCAAAAGTGGACAAATAATTTTGTCTTTGTCAAAAATCCATATTTTTGACGGTTTTTCCTGATAAAACTCAAAGAACAGTAAGTTTTAACTGAGAAATTAGTATACGTAGGCTAAAGAATCTGGTCGGCTCGTTGCTGAGAATTAGTATCTCAATTCGTTTCGAAATGAGAAGCAAAACAGCAACAGGTTTGTGGGGTGAATGCTCGTCGTCGTTTCCTTAACTAGCATGGTTTATCCACCTAATTAAGCGTATAGCAACCAGAATTTAGATAGATGGGGTTCTTCGATCGATAAAGGAGTTAATTATTATTCCATTTTTATCACATAAATTAAAAACTTTAAACAAAACTCATAAACAAAAACATGATCGACCCAGTATGACTGTTCAGCACGGAAAAAAATGAGAAATGATTTACTTTTTTATTTTTTATATTTATGTATTTGTTTAAAGGTTACAATGCCCATATAATGGATGAACCACTGGGTGATCTTCGAGGTAATCATCAACAATGGATTGATGTGTATGTTAATAAAAAGGATAATAAAGTGGAGCAGATTGTTGAAATGGTAATGAGATAAGCATACATAGATTATACAGACACACAAGTGTTGATCTCAGTTTAACAAACAACGATGAACATATACTTACAATAGATACCAGCATTTATTTTATTTTATTCTTATTATGTTCATACTCTTTTTAATCAAATGTGTATTATCTGTAAATCTATTATAAAAAACTTATCAATGTTGATCTTACCGTTTTTAATGTGGAACTCATTCCATGAAGTTATATTCAGCGAGATTTCCTGCTTGTGACTTAGTCTACGAGATTCTTATGAGCTGGAAAGCAAAATTGTTTATGGTTAAGCGTATGATATTCTTATCGAACTTGTGACTAAGTGGGTAAGCCTCTTATCAAAAGAGGTTCTGGTTTGGCCAGGTGTTCTGTTTTTCACGTCAGCGTACAACTGTCTCATGGACAGGAAAAAATAAGAACTTTTTACTTTCGGCGAAGTGTCACCCATTTTGAAACTGATACTTCTCCTGTTCTTATATCATACCAAAGGGGAGAAGTTTCACAAAAAAAGTTGTTTAAAGCTGAAACAACACCAAACACATGATACTTACTATCAGTATAGTTTGTTTTTGTTCTTCATCCTATCTACAAGAGACAGACTAATAGTCTGCTTTTTGTACAAATGAGAATATAATATCCTTATTTGTGCAAAAATTCCAAATGTCAAATAACAACATACTGACACTAAAATAATTGATGATACAATGACAATGCAAAACTTTTCCGTTCCCAATGTTAGGTGTTGAAAGGATTGTTTCACAGTTTTAATTCGATGACTGAATAGGCCTATATTGAATCTATTCATGGTATTAATAAGAACTTTTTGTTTCGTTGCTTTCAATTCGAAAACCCGAATTTCTTCGCAACAAAAACGTCTGTTAGATTGAAAAATAGTGAATCTGAAAAGATGAGGAAAGTTGTTTTTGAAAAACTTCAGTTTTTAAACAAATTTTAAATGTAAATATAAAATTTTGCAATCGAAAAATTTTTGGTCGGTCTGGAAAAACAGAAATTTCTAACATAAAATCAAACTAAATCTTAACTTTGAATATTACAAATGAAACAGTTTGAAAAATTGCATTACATGTACTTCTCAGAAAAACAGATCATCGTTTTTTTTTCTATTTGTGGCCCTATACTTTATAGCAGACTATTATAACCATCGTGTACTCAAATTCTTGTTGAACTCGATTCAATGTTGCAATGGAAGATTAGTAGCGGGAAGCGTTATTGCAACATACAATGATTTATACAGTTATCCGTGTTAAGCAACGCTTCTCACAATGATTTTATATACGCGTCTGATCAAGGTTACGGCCGAAGTCGTGCTCTTGGATGCATACACGGTGTCACGCCATGTACAGTTATTATAGATATATGTATATATATTTTAATATGTAAATGATTCAACTACAGACATGCCAATCATCGATACTCATAGAGAATATTTCCCATGGTATATGGCTTTTTTTGATAAATACTCCAGTCTGTATGTTTTAGATGAAACCAACAGACACGTTGTTCGTTACGATTTTTGCAGTTAAAAGCGCGACTTAAAAAGGGAAAAAACCTTGTTTCTTTCATCTACATCCACCTCCTCGCTGATTTATTCGATCTTTCCTGAATAGTCTATAATTAGTTATTCCGACTATACTATCACTAATGTAAGAACTTAATCATGATTCGAGTATTTCTATTATTGATGGATTCTCATTATGGGCTAACTCTTGAACAAAATAAAGTTTAGAAATTTTACTATTCATCCATGACTCTCCTAGTAAATAACGAATATTTAAAGAATACATAAAACTGTCATCTGTCACACGACTAGTTGCTAGGTTATTCATCTTGATCATTTTCATAGAGAAAAAATATTTGATAGGACACCACATATTCATAGATACACCTTGAAAATTATATGAGATTTTAACTTCGAAATGTTTTGGAAAAACATGAAATAAAACACTAGAACTCGAGTTTTGTCCTTTCTAACTTGTCTGATATTTTTATATATTTTTTTGTGACACGACATTACTGCGGACAGGATCCCGACCCTTCCACACAGTTTTCATAGTACACATTTGGGTATTTTTGGCATTGTGTCGTGTGAGGTAGGGATATGGATAGTGTGGGAGTGAGTTCGAAGAGTAGTTTCACATAAAACATATTTTCATGATGTGAAACTGTATATCTGCAACTATATCACATAATGATTATTCACCACATAACTTCTCGGAGGTTTCATATTGTACGCGGAGATGTCAGTGTATGTATTTTTCAACGAATAGTTGGTTTTTCAAAGAGATCTGAAGCTTGTATTTTAAAAAAGCAAGTCGCTTTGAGACACTAAATTGCTGTTGTTGAAGAACATAAGGGTGGTTAAGAACACCTAACCCGAACCCAACCCGACTGCCAAAATGCCGACCCGCACCGACAACAACTTAACCCGAACCCAACCCGACCCGATAACATCTGAACCCGAACCCGACCAGATGAAAACAATCTCACCAGAAAACTGTGTTTGAGAAAGAATATAGACCTGCCTTGTTAGACAAAAGTTTTTAGGTGCATATTGTAGAATCTCGTAGTTGAAAAAAAATTTTTTGAACGACGTCTGATTGGTCATTTTGTCTAAAAGGTTAATCTATTGAAAATTCCTCAGTACACTTTGTCAATAGATTATCTTAACCGAGATGATGACCACATCCTTTTTCTCAT